GGCTCCGGTTCAACAGGAGAGGATTGCTTGGAATGGCTAATGCTGGACCGAATGATAATGGTAGTCAGTTCTTCATAACTATCGGAACAGAAGGTACTCCCAGCCTTAACAAAAAGCACACCTTGTTCGGAAAGGTGAGATCAGTTAGCGATATGCTTGCAACTACCAATTTGAGGTTGTTGGCCCAACTGTGTATAATATGTTAAACATTGCAAACTGCGATATTGGTGAGGATGAGAGACCAAAAACGATTAACAAAATTTTGGGAGCGAAGATTGTGAGCAACCCTTTCAACGATATCGTGCCCAGGTTAGCCTGCCGTTTATGCTTCTGATTTCCGTATGTTTCAGAGAACCAAAGAAGAAAGAAAAGAAAAAAGACAAGAAGAAGGAAGAAAAGAAGGTGGAGACTAAGAAGTTGAATCTGTTATCCTTCGGTGACGAAGCTGAGGAAGATGAAGCTGAGATCGAGCAAGTGAACAAGAAATTAAATATAAAAGGAAAGTCAGCTCATGATGTTCTCCAAGATGAAAAGCTGAGCACTCAAGTTGCTGTAACACGTGATGAATTTGAAGATTACGAGCCTGTAAGTAACTATATCAACTCACTTCTAAAATTCCTTTGTGTTAAGGAAGCAAATGAGGATTCCAGTAAAGTGTCAGAGTCGCTGGATAAGATCAGAGCTAAGTTCGCGAAGAGAAAAAAGGTTTTTTGATCTTCTTGTTCGAGTTTGGTTCAATTCATTCTTCAGCAAACGGAGGCTGCCGATGAGCCTGAAGAGGAAGAGAAAGAAATTGATTATGATAAGATGAAAGCAGAGCAAAGGAAAGAAGATGAAGAAGCCAGAATGTATTGTTTCCTCTTCCGTTTTTATCGATGATTAAACTCGAATGCAGATCTGAGATGCAGAGTGAACTAAAAGCCATGCAGAAAGAATATTTGAAAGCCATACGTGGACCCAAACAGAAGAAGAATCAACAAGGCATTTCGCTGGGTTTTCCTTCATTCTTATCTTCGT